CTATCAATCCATTTCCTGAACTAACCGCTGTGCCGCTGAAGTCATTTCAGCTGCTTTCAAAGCAGTGGCTTCCTCTGTACCCCCTATGTGGGAAATGTCCCTCCTGGAGTATTCTCGTGATGTGCTCCGAGTATTGAAGGGCAAGATTGTGTGTTATTGCCCCTCCGCCCCTGCCTCCGCGTCACCCTCAAACTCAATCTTAAACTCAATTGCAACCTCGCGGGTTTGTTTGGACCTTTCAGGCGGGGCTGTTGGCGGAGATATCGGTGGCTTTGGAAACGCCGCCCCGCCGGCACCAGTTGCGGCCTGGGAGGTTTACTCGGACCTCTGGCGCGCCTTGCTGCTACAGCCAGCTGGCGGAGGTAGTGGTGGCGGTGGCGGCGGCGGTGGAGCGCTACTGCCGCCGAATTTTCAGGTGCTATGCCGTAGCTATCTCCCCTGCTACTGCGACTGGTACTCTTGCTACTGTCGTTATGTCTCTCACCGTTTGTCGTACCGCGAGATGGCGTTTGCTGCTGCTGGTCCATATGGTCTGTACGGGAACGCTGTCCGAGGCGTTTTCGGCGCCCTCCCTCCCTTTCTTTTATTCGGCCATCACCGCCGCCGCCTCCCCTTCCCCCTTTGTCGTGCTGCGTCAATGCCTGCCTTGAACAGGCGGACCTGGACAGGAAGTACGGCACCGCAATCAAGCGTCGCCTCCGTACCGCCGTGTACGACGCGATGATAGTTGCCGTACTGGACGCGATGCGGAACTTGGATCTGAGCTACAGCCTGCCTGCAGGTCACGGGAACGCCGCTGCCACCGCTACTACTACAGCCGCCGCCGCCGCTGGTGATGAGGAGGGGTCTGGCGCTGGCGGCGCTGCCGTGGACATGTACGGCGCCATCGTGGCGCACAACCCCCGCGACATGATGTCGTACTTTTACCTCAAATGTGAGCTGCTTCTGATTCCTCTTTCTTGTGCGACCCATAGGACGCCCCTGCTCGTGTGCCGAGTGTGCCAGTGGGTGATTGTGTATATGTGCGAGTGTACGAGTGTGTGATCCCCCGCGTGCCAGGGGGCTCAGCAGCTCCTGCCGGTCTGCCGATCAGCATCGGACCGGAATGTAGGACCGGCAACACGGCGGCGACCGGGCGCCGTTGATTCGCTCAGTCACTCATCCGTTCCCGCGCTCCTCTTAACACTCGTTCCTTTCCCACACAGCCTCCCCCGCCGCCACCGCCACCACCAACAACAACCTCCCCGACACCACAACGGCCCCATGTTGTACGACGGCAGCTTTCCTGCAGGACCTCCTCCCCGCATGCGGCTCTGTCCTCTTCGCCCGCTGGGCCCTGGCATTGGCGGAGGCGCTGGCGGCCCTGGTTTCGGAGCGCCCCTTGCTTAGCGCGTCGTACAGCCTAGCCGCGGTGGCCATGGAGCTAGCGGAAAGAGGAGGGCTGCTGGCGCCGCAGCTGACAGTGGCTGCGTCCACCGCGGCACCCGGCGCTGCCGCGGCGGCGGCGGCGGCGGCGGCGACGGCGGACATTTTCCGGGGTCTGTTGGCTCGCGTCGCAACGTCTTGCCCGCAATACAAGGCACGGCGGCGGCCGCGGTGGCGGGACGGGGGAACGGTTATATATATTCTGGGGAATGCCGTACCGAGCAAAACTAAACCAAAACTAAACCAAAACTGCACGCGATGTGACAAAACGCATCATCCTGCGGTCCTTGTTCCGGTAAAAGATCCTCAGAAATAGCCTTCTTCGCTACAAGCCCCATCCAGCCCGTCCTCCTTCCCCGTCTTTTCCCCCCGTCATCCTCCCCCCCCCATCCTTCCTCTAAATACCGATACACCCCTCCCTGACAGGACGAGCTGTTGGTCTCTTGTCTGGGACTGCTGCTGGCGGCGCCGCCGCACCTGCTGGCGGCCGCGGCGGCGGCGGCGCCTGGGACGCGGCGGATGGGATACGACACCGCCACGATTGCCACGAGTACGGCGGGAGCGGCGGCGGGGCTTGCGGTGCCGCTGACGCTGGCGCTGCCGCTGGGTCTGTCGTACATGCCAGTGGCCGAGGCGGCGGTGACGGCGCTTGAGCGTTGGGAGGTTCAGCAGCCGGCGGCGCTGAAGGTGCGTGGCGTGATGAGGGCTTATGCTGTAAAAAAGGATTAGGTTGGCGATTTGGGTTGGAAAGTAGCCTCTCCGGTTCATCTGCGCCGTCGCACCACCTCTCATCCCCCCTTCTGCGCTATGACTCCCTTGTTTGGCGGCACTCGGCGGCACTTGTACGGCAGCTGTTGCTTTGAAAGGTCGGCAGTAGCTCCTTCCTGTGTGGGCTTTCGCATCTTTCATGATTTTATTTCGAAATTTCATGATTTGGTTTCAAGTTTTCCCCCTCCCCCTGGGATTTGTTAAACCCCTCCTCGCTCCGCGCTACCTCCATCCCCTTAAGGCATATTCGCATATACGGTGCCCCACATATGTCATTTTGTACGGCACAGGCCGCCATGCCGTACTTTGTTCCGCTGCTGGAGCCGTACCTTGCGGATCAGCAGGTCCTGCAATCTGATGAGGCCGTCGCAGCCACCGCCGCCACCGGCGTTGGACCGCCCTCCATTCGGACCCGTACGGCCAAGGCAAGGCGGCGGCAGCGGTGATGACGGGAGACAGATGTACAGCGTGTGGAATCGTACTAGTACGACAGTGACAGTGACAGTGACAGTGATAGGTGCAAAATGTGTTGGACGGTACGGAGAGGAAAGGAAATGCCGGAAAGGAAACAGCCAACTGGCATGCGACTTGGAGGGAGTTGGCACCGTACATGTCTTGTAGTGTGTGCCGTACATGGCATCTGCATCATCTCATTTCACCCAGGGAGGTAAGAGGAGGAGAACGCGGATCGCACACATTTCGCATACTCCTCCGTTAGTAACGGTGAATGTGATGAATTTTTTGTTCGCGAGGTCTTCCGTTGACCTCTCCTCACGCGTATGATTCGCTGCCGTACGCTCCTCCTGACGTCACACCGTCTTGATCTTACCTCACCGTCACGTCCTGCCGCCGCAGACCGCCGCCGCCGCCGCCGCCGCTGGTCCCGACGCAGCTGCCCAGCTTCAGGCCTTACAAGCCCGTCTGCAGCTGTGGTTAGGCCGTAACCCGACCGCAATGCCGTACCTCGCCGCCGTCGACCTCACGGTGTTGCTGGCGGCGGCGCCGTCAGGGGGCGCCGCCGCCGCTATCGGACCCGCAGCTGCACGGCTGCTGCAACACTTGCCTTGGGACGAGGACTCGACAAAGATAGCGCTTGACGTGGCGGTGGCGGTGGCGGCGGCGGAGCCGCCGCCGACGCTGCCGCTGTCGTCGGTGGCAGCGTCAGCGTCGGCCGCAGGCCCCACGGCAAGTGCACGTGTTCGTTTGTATGTGGATCCGCTGCTGCCCCACGCCGCGCGGTTGGCGGAGGAGAGTCCCGATCCGCAGGTCCGTACGGCAGCGGCGGAGCTGTTGCATGCGGCGGCGTTGTGGGTGGTGGGCGCCAACGCGGCGCTGCCGGAGGTGCTGCTCCAGGGGGGAGGGGGAGTCAGCGGCGGCAGCGGCGCAGCCCGCGGCGGGAGCGGGTATGACGGAAAGCCGGGGAACGAATGGGCATTTCGCATGTAGGCGTGTACGTCTGTATGTATGTTTCTGTTTGGCTCCCTGGGGCTTCACAACAGGCGCATTGCTTTCCAGAATCCTTTGTTGTGTAGTTTGCAGCTCGAGAACCCTACCTAACATGTCGCACATTCGCTCGTCTTCATCGCTTCGTATTGTACTCGAGTGTACTCCTTCTGTACGAGCGGCATCCATCGCACTATCCTATCAACACCCACGCACTGACCTCCACTCACCTCCACAGGGGTCGTCGCCAAACTCATTTTCACGGGTTACTGCGGCGGCTGTTCCCTGCCGTCCTACGACTGGGTGCGAGTCACGAGCCCCTGGCCCGGGACCTGTTTAGGCAACTAGCCTTTCAACTGGTGCATTGGTATACCAGGTGGGCGAGTGGCTGTGGTTGCGGTGTGTGTGTTTATATATTGTGTTAATGTGTGTGTTGTTAATGTGTGTGTTAATGTGTGTGTTAACGTGTGTGTTGATGTGTGTGTTGATGTGTGTGTTGATGTGTGTGTTGATGTGTGTGTTGATGTGTGTGTTGATGTGTGTGTTGATGTGTGTGTTGATGTGTGTGTTGATGTGTGTGTGTTAATGTGTGTTATTCGGCGTGTGCTTAATTTGAATCAGTACCCCCCTGGTGGACGTCAAGGTTGGGCACCAGGACGAAAAGCCAAAGTCGAAACGGTCAGAACCCAAATGGATGGATCCAGATTTTCAACCAGGTAAATCCACAGTTTTTTCGCATCCTTAGTGACATTCCAATCCAGCTTGTTCTCTCTTAGGGTCTGTTAGTTCGTTTTCATTTCCGTTCCATTCCGTCGAACTACTCCACTGGGCCCCCCCCCCAGGGGCGCTCGACGCGAGGGCGCAGAGGCTATGGCGCTGCTGGACGCGGTGCTGATGGGGCTGTCCACCTCCGGGCCAGTGGCCAATGCTGAGTATGGCGTCGTCAGCGGCGGCGGCGGCGGCGGCGGCGGCGGCGGCAGCTCCCTCCGGGACTTGTGCGCATCGCTTTGTGCGGAGTGGCTGGTTTGGGCTCAGAGACAAAACATCTCCCCGCTCCCAGGAGCAGAGGGAGGAGGGGGAGCGACAGCAGGTGTGTGCGATATGATGTGGGGGAGGGTGGGGAAACGCGGAAAAGGAACACACACGTGCAAATGTGCACGTCTGTATGTTTGTCTGCTGCGTCCGGCGGGATTTCATCGCCGCCAGACAGTACATCATCCTCAGTGGCGCAACGAGCTGGGTAGGTACCGATGCCGTACAAGTTACAGCAATGAAGAGTACTGCAAATACGAATGGCCGTTTGATTAGACGGCCCGAGAGAACAAACGTTATTTATAATTTCTAATCTAATTAAAATTGTGGCCATAACCACCTTCCACTTCTCAGGGCTCTCGACCGACCCCAGCCCTGTCTGGCACGCATCAACCCGTGTCACACATCCCCGCTTCCCGCCACCTAATGCTCCGCCGTACGCCACATGCCGTATTACTGACTTCATTTTACCCGTCGTACAATCCACGATCTGCCCAGATGCCGACGCCGCCGTCAGCGTCAACGCGACGTCGCTGCTTCGTCGTCTCATGGACCGTTTGGCGCAGCCGTCACCGGACGTACGGCAGGGCGCTGCAGCTGCGTTTGCGGCGCTTGCTCGTCCACTGAGCCGTCCGTACAATATTTCGTTAGCAAACGGTTACCTCTTAGAGGCGCTATGGCTGTGCATCCGGGGACTGAGGCATCCATTGGGTGCGCGGGGGTGGGGCGAAAAGGTAGTTAAGGCAGTTGAAATAGCGGTTGGGCTTACCCAGTGAATCTGGGTAATGAGTCGCCTAGGTTGACTGTGTTGCGGTTTTTAGGTAATATAGTTTTTTAATATGTACGTTTTTCAGTTTTGTTGTAGGTGTTTTTGTTGTTTTCGAATACATACTTTTGGGGGGGGTTCTACCAGGTCCGCGGAATTGATTTTGTCCCTCGCCTCCTCCATCTTCCCCCGCCAGCTGACGAACCTGGCTCCGGAACCCTCGCTACAGCCGGATTTCAGTCCAGCCCGTTAACGTCGGGATCAGATTCCAGTTCCAGCTCAGGCTCCCTCGGATACGGCGCGTCGCTCGTACGGGCCATTACGGCACTCGTACATCACTGCCTGACGCGGCAGCTGGCCCAGCAGCTCTGCCTGCCGGTGGCCGTGTCCTGCGGCGGCGGCGGCGGCGGTGCGTATTATGGCGCTTACGGCGAGGGCGGTGGTGGCGAGGTGGAGGAGGACGACGGCGGCAGCGAGCTCGAGGAGGATTACGATGAGCACGCGGGAGGCGGCGGCGACGGCGGCGGCGGTGGGGTGGCGACGGCAACACGTCGTCAGAAGGCCCCTTGCTTCGCAACGTTGCCAGCGCTTGTGCTATGGCTTTGGCAAGTGAGTGAATGGGGTGAACGGTGTGGGTTTGTGTTTGTGTTTGTGTGTTCGTCTAAACCACCGGGGTGATTGACAAACAGACAGACAGACAGACAGATGGATGCACAGGCAGACAGACAGATGGATAGACAGACAGGCAGACAAACAGACAGATGCATAGACAGGCAGACAGATGGATAGGCAGACAGACAGACAGATGGATAGATGCCCCGAGAAGGGATGAGTCAGGAAGGAACCAGGGAAGCGCTTGGTCAGTTGGTCGTTATGTCCGTCTGTATTTGCTCGTCCGCTCGCACTTGGACGTCTATGCGTCCATCCATACAGGTTAACCGTACCTGTCGGTATATGACTGTCTTTTGTGTTCTCTTCTTTTCTGAAAATGTTAGCTTTATAGTCTGTTTGTTTGTCTGTCTATCAATCAATCGTTCAGGGGACCGGGGGCCTGGCCGCCTCGGACAGCTCCGCCGCCGCACGGAGGGAGAGCATGCGGCTACACGCTCGCCTTGCTGGCGCGGTACTTGAGGTACGGGGAGTACGGCAGCAGCAGCAGCAGCCGGGTGTTGGTGGGGCTGGCAACGACCCGGGGGTTGTCAGTGACATGATGGAGCTGGAGGAGGAGGAGGAGGGTCGTGACGCTGGCGACACCTCCAGGGAAAGGCCGCCGCCGCCGCCGCCACTGGGCTACAGCGGCCGCTGGCTAGAGTGGCGCTGTGCGCATCGTGGGTACGACAAGCTTGATGTGCTGGCGCGGTTCGTACTTACGCTGCCGGCCCCGAAAAGAGGCATCGGCGGCGATGGCGGCGATGACAGCGGAGCAGCCATGGAGACGGAGGATGTTGCGGCGTCTGCAGGCGGCGGCGGCGGCGGTGCCGCCGCCGCCGATCTAGCAGTCCCGACGTGGACCTTATGGCTGCGTTCGCTTCAGGCTGCTCTGGAATGGACCACTTGGGCCTTGGACCAGGGGTGAGCTCGTCTGTCTGACTGCATGTCTGTTAGCCTGTTAGCCTGTTAGCCTGTCTGTCTGTCTGTTCCTTCCTCTCAACTCCGCCTTCCTTGGGTTGAGTCCGCTAACGCAGCACGGCAGACGAGGCGAGCCGCGCCTTCATGTCTCCACGTTGGCACCTGCATACCTACATACCTACATACCTATATACAGCATCTTCCCCAAAGCCCACGCACTCCTTCTCTCTCCAAAACCCGCCACCTGATGTACATACATATATACATACATGCGCACGACGGACTGCAGGATGTTGAAGCTGCGCGACCTACCGGACCTAGTGGAAAAGGCGCGAGGTAGAGCCCGGGCCCGAGCCGCCGCCGCCGCCACCGCCGCCGCCACCGCCGCCGCGGCTGCGGAAGCGCTGCCGGATACGCTGACAGAGTTCCTGTGCCTACTGCCGCCGGTGGAGGAAGGTATCCGTGTCGGCGAAGGAAGCGGTGCCGCCGCCGCCACCACCACTAGTAGCAGCGGCGGCTTGCCGCCGGGCTGTCGTACCGCCACGCGCGACGTGTGCCTGGCGCTACTGCGGCTGATGCGGCAGCTGGCGGACCTAGAAATGGACGAGCAACAGCGGAGGCGGAGGCAATGCCGGCGGTGGCGGAAGCGTCAGCGGGAGGGGGAGAACGACAACGATGACATGGCGTCAGCGGCGTCGGATGTGTACGACACGGAGGATGACGGAGCGTTGCACGACAGCGGTGCGCTGCTTCCCTGGAGCGACAAAGATGCTGTCAACGTGGCCCTCGCGGCGGCTCTGGCGCCCCACCTGTTGGGACTGCAACCCTCAGACGGTGACTTTGGGACGTCTGAGAAGAAAAGGGCCCTCTTTTTGCTCTGATCATGACAGCAGAGGGGGTTGTCTCGTGTCACATTTTTCATCGCCATCCAAAATCCTCATTTTTTATTTATAATTATTTACCATTTAATTTATTTTTATTATTTGTTTTTTGGGTAATAAAAATAAAGCCCAAATAACCCCCCGCCAAATCCTACGCAGTTACTGGATTACGGGACATCACATCTGCCGCTATGGACCTCATCGCCGCTGCCCTGCGTGCCAATCTGCCGTACGCCGTAACCCTGGAGGATGGGCTGCGGGAGCTGCTGCGGCGGACCCTTGGGTCAGTGGAGGTCGGCGCCGCCGCCGCCGCGACGGCAGGACCTCCTACCGACCTTCGGTCAGTAGATGCCGGTGATGCAGAGATGCACAAAGAAGATTCCGAGTCAGAATCGGATCTGGATTCAGATTTGGATCTGGGTCTTGGACGAGACACGGCAACAGCAACAGGGCTAAGCATGGAGGGTTCTGGCGGCGACAGCGGCGGCGGAAGGGCTGGACGGAGAGGAAGAAGGGGGGGAGGAGGCTCGAGCGGCGGAGCGCGGCGGCCCCGCCAGCGCCAGCGGAATGGCGGCGGCGGCGGCGGCGGCGGTGGGGTGGCGGAGATTGCCCTGCTGGCGGGTGATCCTGTCCAGACGTCCGTATTCGTACAAGGTACGGTGGCGGTGGTTGAGGCGGTGGACGCGGCCCACGGCTCAAACAGAAGGGGAAGCCCATCCAATAAGACACCGCACCATGCCTAGACCTAGGCCTAGCTACGCCTCCACATCACTCAAGAGCCTGCTAATGCCTCTCCCCCCCCTTTTAACCCCTCACTTTACCCCCCACTTCACCCCCCCACTTCACCCCCCCACTTCACCCCCTCACCACCCCTCTGGCAACCAGCTTGCTTCCGGTCCGTGTTTTCCTCTCCGTCTCTCAGCCTCCCGCCTGTCGCCCCTGCACCCCCTGATTCTAGTCGCGGACCTACTACTTGGTCTCCTACACATACGTCGTACATAGCCACACAGCATCCCCCACGCGCCCCTATATATACTTTATGTATACAATATGTATACAATATGTATACAATATGTATACAATATGTATACAATATGTATACAATATGTATGCAATATGTATGCAATATGTATGCAATATGTATACAATATGTATGCAATATGTATGCAATATGTATGCAATATGTATGCAATATGTATACATACTTCACCCGTATAATGTTTGTTCGTTTTGTCCAACTCAGGGCATTATTGTGTACGTGTGCATGTCATGCATATGCCTATATGTTTTGAGCTGTTGACCCGCCGCCGCCAGCCTCTCCAACAAATTCCCCCTGACGTCATGCCGTACACTCCGGATGTCCTCTTGTCGGCCCCCAGGCCTGTCCCGCCTGCTCGCCATGCAGTGGCTGTCTAGGAGGCGGGGCCCTGAAACCCGGGGGCAGTTGCTGGTTGAGGGTGGAGGCGGTGGTGGGGTTGGGGCTGGTGGTGGGCTTGGTGGTGGTTCCGGAGCAGGTCCTTCCCTGGAGTTGGTGAGTGCGGGTTTGCGTGCTCGACTGAGGCGGCAGTGTCTGGGGCTGGCAGGGAGACTGGCCGCCGCACGGGGCGGGGAGGCGGCGCCGGCGGCGAGGAAGGCGGCGACAGGTGTGTTTCCCTGTGCGCGCGTGTATGTCTGTGTGTGCATGAATATGTCTGTGTGTGTACGTGTGCATATGTATGTGTGTGTTTTGCGTTGCATGAGGGGCCATCGCTTACCCCCCTTCCCCCCGCGTGTATTGTACGTGCGGGTGAAGCGCAGAGCCCCGGACAGCAATGCCAAATGTTGTTTGGTGCTGAGGTACTTGGGAAGTGTGTGAGGAGGTGTATGTGCATGAGGGTACGGAATCAAGACCCCACGATCATGTCTAACCCAGGGCATTATCCCCACGATCATGTCTAACCCAGGGCATTATCGTACGCGTGCACATGCACATCCGTACATGGCGAAAGCTGCTCGTTTTCCTCTGTCTGCCCCCCGTATGTCTGTCCGTATGTCCGTCCCCGAGAAGACGCACTAAGCCTGGCACTGCAGCTCTCCGAGCCGCCACCGAGCGCTGGAAGCTTCTGTCGCGAGCTTCTCGGGTTGATAATGCCGCTGAGGAATGAGCGGGAGGAGGAGGAGGAGGCGGGTACGGCAGCTTCTGTGAAAGGTACGGAATATGGTCGCGTGGATGTTGTTGTTTGGGGGGGGAATAAGGCCCCCCGAGGGCCCCGTTTGTTTCCTCTGACAACTGAAAACCGCCAACTGCCGTAGTATGCTTTTATTTCCAAACACCACCCAGCTCCCAACTACCGGTGTCCATCCAACAAACGAGTACACAGAGCACAGAGAGCTGTCTCATGTGCACGTAATGCATGGCGTGCACAGCACAGCACAGATTTGACACATTTGCGTCATAGCCCAAATTGGGCCTTATATTAATTAAACTTTTGAATAATGGAAGAACTCCAAAATTAACGAACGTCCAAAATTAAAGTACGCAACGTCTGGGGGGAAGGGCCTTGGGGGCTCGGTTGTGACTCTCCTCCGTGTTTCTTGGGCCCGGTAGAAGTTGTCAATATCGTACAGTTGTTGTACCTGCGTGACTTGCCTGCAGAGGGTGGAGAGGATGAAGCTGCAGCAGGTACGACAGCAGGTACGACGTTCTACGACAATTTCAAGGCCGTTGTAAACCGCGCCGTTTTATTCGACCCGGAAGTCAGCGTGTGTCATATTTTGCGTGCTCTGGCCGCCCGCGAGCGCACCGCCGCCGCCGCTGGCAGCGCGGCGGCGGCGGCAGCAGCAGTTAGTACGACAGCGGAGGCGGTACTTGCTGGCGTCTGCGAGAGCCTCTTGCGCTCTCGGGCCGCCGTTGCAGCTGTAGCGCGCGCACGTCCTGCGGCGGCTGCTTTGGGGGGCCCCCCGCCGCCGCCGCTGCCGCCGCTGCCACCGCCATCCGCGCTTGATTTACATCTTTCCGCCTTCATGGCATCCTGCCGCCGACACCTACATCTGCTACAGCCGCTCGCCCGGAAAGGCGCCGGAAGTAGCGGCAGTAGCGGTCCCTCGCTTGAGTCGCAGCTGCTGCTACTGCGTGTGTTGCGGCTGCTGCTACAGCTGGATGCCGCGGGGCTGCTACAGCCAGGTCCCTCCTTGGATTTCATTTTGGACTGCTACTGCGAGGCGTTGGCGCCGAGTGCTGCTGCTGCCAGGTGGGGTGTGGATGTGTGTGTGTGTGTCATGGGTGCTGCTGCTGGGGTTGCGTTTTTTGTGTGAGCTGGCGTGTGTACGGCTGTGGTTGGGTCATTGGGTGCTAGCGTTGGGTATGGGTCTTCTGGGACCGCCGAACTGTGACTGTGACTGTGACTGTGACTGTGACTGTGACTGTGACTGTGACTGTGACTGTGACTGTGACTGTGACTGTGACTGTGACTGTGACTGTGACTGTGACTGTGACTGTGTCTGTGACTGTGACTGTGACTGTGACTGTGACTGTGAGTGTGACTGTGACTGTGACTGTGACTGTGACTGTGACTGTGACTGTGACTGTGACTGTGACTGTGTCTGTGACTGTGACTGTGACTGTGACTGTGACTGTGACTGTGACTGTGACTGTGACTGTGACTGTGACTGTGACTGTGACTGTGACTGTGACTGTGACTGTGACTGTGACTGTGACTGTGACTGTGACTGTGACTGTGACTGTGACTGTGACTGTGACTGTGACTGTGACTGTGACTGTGTATGTGTATGTGTATGTGTATGTGTATGTGTATGTGTATGTGTATGTGTATGTGTATGTGTATGTGTATGTGTATGTGTATGTGTATGTGTATGTGTATGTGGAAATGCGGATTCCTGCACGTTCCGCTGACTTCCCGCCGCTCCACACACACACACACACACACACACACACACACACGTACCCCGGGGCCCCGGACTGCGCCATTCCTCCATTCCCTCCCTTCCCGCTGACCGTGACTCCTGTGACTCGCCATCACCACCACCATCGCCATTATCACCGACTGGAAACCTGGGGTGCTACAGCGCTGGTGCATTGACTCAGGCGTTACAGCTACTGCCAGCCCTCGCGGCCGGCCTTCCGGACGGGGGACCTCTGGAGCGGCTCTTCGGCGGCGGCGCCGCCGCCAGCGGCGGTGCTCCAGGGGTCGTCATCTCGCTGGTGCCGTACGTCTGCCCAACCAACTCGCGCCGTGATCACCCTGATCCTACCGCCCCCGCCGCCGTCGACATGTCGATGCGCCTGCACGCGCTCATGGAGACGCTTGTGCAACTGTCGTACGCCGCGGCAGCGGCAGCAGAGGTGGCAACCGCAGCCGCTGGTGGCGGCGGCGGTGGAAGTGGCGGCAGCAGGGGCGGTGCAGCGCGCGCCGCAGCTGCCGCATCTCTGCTGAAAGCGCTGCTCATTGTCGTACAGGACATGGGCGGACCCACGGGTCATTTGCTGCAGACGAGGCTGGTACGGATGTTTGTACAGATGGCGGCGGCCGCCTGGCACGGCGCGCCATCGGTGACGGAGGATGCCGCGAAGGACGTTACCAACCCGTATGCATTGTCGGCGGCGGCGGCGGCGGCGGCGCGTGCTTGGCCTGGCGATGCTCTTCTGTCGTACAGCTTCTCCTGGCTGTTACTGGATCCGGGTTTTCGTGGGATGCGCGAGATGCGGTTGGCGCTTCTACACCACGTGGTAATGCCGCTGCTGGCGGCGGCGCCGGCGCCGTACCGTGTCGAATGGTACGGCACGTATGTACGGCGCATGGTTCATCACGTGCAGGACACGGCGGGCGGCGGCGGCGGTGCTGGCGGCGGCGCGGGCCCGGGCACTTCGCAGCTGCTGAACAGCTGGGTATGCTACACGCTGCTTCAAGCCATGTACGGCATGTGTACTGCACAAGAGGTGCGTGACCCGCCTGAGCTGCGCGGTAGTTTTATCTCTGAAGTCACGACGCTGTATGTGTATGCGTGTGTGCTGCCGTACGGGCAAGGGTACGCGTCGGGTTGGCACACTGCAGCGCGGGGGGGGGGGGAGGGGGGAGGGGTTTAGTCTTGCTGATTCCATCAATCTTCCTCTTAGTGACCTTCTTCACCTCCAAAAATCCCACCACTCCCAAACTCGTTTGCGACCCCTTTTGTTATGGCCTGTGATGGGCTCCTCTGCTAAATTGTCCGAACACTCCGTACGAACGTACGACATGCCGTACGTCCGGGGTACGGATGTGACAACCTATCGACCGACCAACCATTGGGGGCCGCAGATCGACCGCATCTGGGACAAGGTGCGCGGTTGGTTGGCGGTTGCTTGGAGGAGTTGGGATTTCTCTAACCGTTTGCATTGTATTAGTTTTAAGGTGCGTGAACTGTAAGGAGAAGTGACGAAGGGTAGTTAGTCGGTTGGGTGGTTCAGTAGTTGGTTGGTTTCAGGAAACCCCCTCCCCACCCACCCCCTCCCCTCCCCTCCTTTCGGTCAGTTCTACGTTTCATACTCTCTTGCCCTGGCAGCAGCTTCAATCGTGTGTGGCTCGTCTTTCCCCTCCCCCCACCGCCCCGTTCAGTCTAACCGCGACATCCGGGCCCCGACGCCCCCAATGTCCGAGGCGGGGCCTTATGCTGCTGCTGCTGCTGCTGCGACTAGTACTACTGCTGCAGCTGGTGTTGGTGTTGGTGTTGGTGTTGGTGGCGGAGAGGTTCTGAAGAACTCCACCTTGATGGGGCTGTGTAAGCGGGAGCTGTGCAGGCCACTGCCGGCGCCCCGGGGGGCCCTCAACGCACACGAACTGCAGTACCAGGTGGGCTGCTACCCGGGGGGGGAGGGCGGGTGTGTGTGTATGAGGGCGGGTCGGGGGAGAAGGGGGGAAGGGGGGGAAAAAGTAGGGGGCGGCACGGGGGTGGTGGCGAAGGAGGATAAACCCGAAGTGTAAGGAAAAGCTATTCTGCTATTTATTACTAAAATCCTCGTTAGTTGATCCTCCCCCACACACATCAGCTTACGAAAAACCCCAAGAAAAATCCGACACCTCCCTAACATCGCCCAACCCGCAACCCCTCACATGATTCCAATAATAACAAGGATTATATTGAAATTAATTTAATGTGTAGGAATATATTAACATCTAATTATTTATCAACAGCGTCCCCACCATATCCACCATATCCACCACCCCCTGCAGGACATTGACCGAGCTGTTCGGTGCGCCGCCTGGGCCGCCTCCGCCGCCCTGCTGCTAAGGACTCAGAACAGAGCCACATTCTTTGCCAAGCTGCTGCGGATGCCGGGTACGTGGGGGCTGGAGAGGGGGGGAGGGGGGAAGGAAGGGAGGGAGGGAGGCAGGGAGGCAGGGAGGCAGGGAGGCAGGGAGGCAGGGAGGCAGGGAGGCAGGGAGGCAGGGAGGCAGGGAGGCAGGGAGGCAGGGAGGCTGTTAATGTCCTGGGGGGGAGACCCTCCGCGCCCTCCGCCTCCCACCCCTTCAGTACACATCTCTCCCCCTTTCCCCCGGGGGCGCATGGCAACCCCCAGACGACCGCAACGGCGACCCCGCCTTCGTCTGGAAACGTCTACTACCTGATAAGGCCCACTTCAGATTCGCAGCGGATCCCGAGGACCAGCAGCAGCAGCAGCAGCAGGAGGAGGAGGGGGCTGCTGGGGCTGAAGGAGAAGGAGTGGGGTTGGGAGTGGGGGCCCCCCCCAGCCGCCTCCGCAGCTCTGAGCCCAACAGGCGGCAGAGGGCGCGTTGGGATCAGGAGGTCGTGAGGGTGAGGCTTTGGGATGAGGATGTGACTGGTGTGTGTGATGTATGTCGGTCTGTCTGTATGTGATGTGTACGTGTTGGAGGAGGAAGAGGACGAGGAGGAGGAAGAAAAGAGGGAGGGAGGGGGGCATTACACAGCTGTACAAAATGTGTTGTCTTTTCAGCATCGGTGCCCCGGGTGGGCACCGGGTGGGGGCGGGGTTGGGCGGGGGGGGCCGGGGGTGGGCGGGGGGGGGGAAATGGAGCAGCTGAAGGCGGGGATGATGGCACGCGCGGCGCACACGTCGATAGGTCGGCGGGAAGGGGGTCGTGGCAGGTGCTCGGTGAGACGGTCGCTGGTCTTGATCCGCTGTGGGGGACTCTGGCCTTGAGTTATGTTTATCTGCCACCTGCGTGGCGTCCCGTACCTCTCCCCCTTCTCGTCACCACCGGCCCCCTGTCACCACCTCCTCCTCTCCCCACCCACCCTCTGCCCCACCTCTACTTCCACCTCCCGCGGTCTCCTCCCCTTCGTCCCCTCCGCGGGATAGACTGCGTTTCGGGAGATGCGCCGCCAGCGTGAGGAGGAACTGGCTGTACGGCGAGGTGGCGGCGGCGGCGGCGGTGGGCCGTCAGCAAGCATGTTGATGGGGGGCACACTCCTAGGGGTTGGTGGCGGCAGCGGCGGCGAGGATGACGTGGCGTCGCTCACCGCCAAGGTTTCCGCGTCGCAGTACGACTTTGGACTGGGTTTGGGAGTTTCAAGTGGTACGGCGAGTCTGGATAGCGGCGGCGGCGGCGGAGGTATGGCGGCTTCTTTACTGTCGTCGGGCGGTGGCGGCGGCAGCGGCACTGTCGCCGCCGCTGCGCTAGCGTACACGTGGACAGCCAGCGGCGGCGGCGGCGGCGGCGGGGGTCCGTTGGTTGGTGATGTTTTCGCGCGTCCAGCTGCAGAGAATTCAGCTCCGGGCGCAGCTGGAGAGGCGGCGGCGGGGTCTGCTACCGCCGGGGGCGGTGTCGGCGATGAGGGCGTCGACGGCGACCTCATCGATGACAACCCAATGAACGACGAGCTGCCGTACGTTGATGACGAGATGGACGAGCATGTCTGCATGTTGCCGCTTGTGCAGCTGATAGAGAAATTCAGCGACCCGGCTACCTGGGACTCCGTGGCGGAGGCGGGCGCGATTGCGACCGCCAAGGAGGCGGCTGCCGCCGGCGCCGCCGCCGCCGGTGTCGCCGCTGCTGCGAGCAGTGCCCTCCCTGGCCCGGACGCGCCCATGCCCCGTTGGCTGTCCACACTCCTAGAGGCGCTGAGTCGGACGGACACCCCCAGGTGCGGGGTACGTCTGTCTGTATGTGCCACTGTCGATGTGCCGTGTGCGTGTGTCGCTATCCGAGTCCTCCTCCGCGACCTTCTTCAGCAGCCTTCGCGCCTTTCTTCCTCCCTCTCCCTCAGGGCCTCCCCTTCCCTCGTCTTCCTCTCTTCCCTCCCCTCCCCCTCCCCTTCACTCGCTCGTGGTTCGTCTTCCCCTCCCTTCCCCCGCCGCCCCCTTCCTCCCTAGCAGCAGCTTCACTCGTTCGTGGTTCGTCTTTCCCCCCCTCTCCTTCCCCCCTTAGATATATTCGGCTGTTCTTGCTCAAAGCCGTACTTCATGTAGAGGAGCGCGTGCGGCAGCGCAAGATCCGGATCCAGGTGCGAAGGCTACGTCTGGATCCAGATTTAGAGTTACAAGTTACAAGTTCCGCAACCAAGTGCGGGTGTGTCCGTAAAAGCCGGGGGGCCACGGACGTTGTATTGGTATTGATGCGGGTACGCGGGAGGTCATCTTCATCCTCCCTCCTCCGCTTCAGGGCGAAGCGCCTCACCGCGACGTGCCTGGCCTCCCAAATTTCCGAGAGGTACCTGGCCAATGCCAGGGGTGGCGCCTCAGTCATAATGGTGCGCATGCTGCGCCCCTTAAAGACTAGATCACCATCATACTTAGCCCGTATGCTCTTGTAAGCGGGACATTCCTCGAAAACATGCAACTCATGTTCAACCGCTCCACAGTCACAAAGCCTGCAGGTACGCAGTCACAAAGCCTGCAGAACTTATCCGGATTGATCCCAGACCCCATACACACCACACACACACACACACACACTTTCACCGGGTTACTTGTGTACTCTGCTCTCCGCCCACTAACTTTGCGGTGTACCATGCCACGGACATACATACATACGCGCATACGTATGTATGGTTCCTCCCAGGTCCAGAGCGAGCAACTAAACCAACAAACGGAGCAGACGGAGCGACCCATGAGTCCGCTGGGAATGCAGTACTCCGGCATTGCCACCACCATTAGCAGCAGCAGCAGAAGCAGCCGTGTAGAGGAGGGATCGCAACAGACGACGGTGCGAAAGGAGTCTTGTACGGGCGACGGCGGCAACGGCGACGGCGACGGCGGACATGGTGGCGCGTATGGTTTTTCCAAAGGGGGACGCCAGGGGGGAGGTCCAGGGGTGGTAGGGACAGGTGCTGGGGAGGAGGGGGAGCAGGAGGAGGAGGGTGGCGGCGCCAGTGCGGTCGCGGCGGAGACCCGTGTCAGCGAGCTACCGGTACGAGGTGTGCGGGTTGGGGTGTTTCGCGCGCTCCTGTAGCTTTTTTTGCTTTGTTTGTTTGTGAATGATTGCTTATTTGTTTGTTTGTCTGTCTATTTGTGTATGTTTTTTTGTGAGTTTTGTATTTGTGTGTGTAGGGAGCCATGAAACCCATTGGACTCGCAAGCACGCTCATGAATTGGTGGGCGGCGGGTGGGAGGTGGAGCGACCTGACACACACATACACGCACACGCTCTTTCTCACACACAATCACACAATCACACACACAGAGACCCCACATCACTCTGCTGCCCCTTGGTCACCAGCACCAGACCCTGCCCAGTTCGCTTTGTCCCCTCTTTCCCTCCCCTTCTGCCCTTTTCCTACAACTCAAAAGGCCTCCGACACCGTCTTTGCGATCTGGGCCGTACGGTTCTTTCCTGCACTGGCGGACGCGGAGGCGGCGGAGGCGGAGGCGGAGGCGGAGGCAGTGCCGCTGTCGTCGCCGCCGCAGCAGCAGCCGCTGGCGGGGGCGGCGGAGGCAGCTGCAATTGGCGACGACGATGACGGTGATGGCGGTGAAGAGCCGCTCCTGGGGCAGCGGCCGCCAGTGGAGGCGGCTGCGGCCGCAGGAGGCACCGGCGGCGTCGCCAGCAGTACGGCAGCCGGGGGCAGCGGCAGTGGTGCCGTGTTCAGCTACGTGCTTCGCTCCATGTGCCAGACGTTTATGAGCTGGCGGGGTTTGGGGGACCTGGGGGACACGGAGGGGGAGACGCAGGTATGCGTGTATGGACTGCCGTGCGCCACGCACCTAGGCGATCGAGCAGGCTTACAATGGGTTTTGACTGGATGCCGGCGTGTGAAGCGGCGTCTGAATCCCGAGGCGTGCGCACCCACCCACCCACCAGTATTCGCCACTCTTCCATTCGCGCCACAACCAGAACTGTTACCAGAACCGCAACTGCAACCGTCAACCGTCACTCGCAACTGCAACTTGCCGCCTGGTAACTGTGCCGCCTCCCGCAGAGCCAAACCACCGCAACCGCGACTGCCACCACCACCAAGGCGCTCCTCCGCGGCGCTGCCGAGCAGTTGCTCCGGCGTGTTGTACGGCTGTGTTTGTCTCCCCGAACCCCCCTGGAGTTATGTCGCCTCAATGCGCATCACGTGATGGCCTTGATGTACTTTTGGCGGAGATCTGGGGTGAAGTTGAGGGGTGAGAAGGGGGGAGGGGTGGGAGATGAAAGTAGGTGGAGAATGTGGGTTTGAGGGTTGGTTGACGGTTTGACTCTGAGCTGTACGAACAGAGTTTGGATTCCGTACACAAGTCAGGGAAGAAACTGATGCGGCGGGTTTGATGTAAGGGGGGAAAGGAACTGTCTTTGCGTTTCGATAAACCCCCCTTCCCTTCCCCTCCCCCCCCCTCTGTGTCCATGTAATTCCATCACACACGTACAGTTTGTTGCCCCTCCCCTCCTAACTACAGCTCATTGATTGCAGGTCTCAATCGTGCCTTTTACGATTTTAATTTAAACCCCCCTCCATCCTTCCCGTCCCTTCCCTTCACTCCCTAGCCACCCCCTCCTTACTGGTCCTCACCCCTCTCCCCCCACCGCGCCCCAAGGGCCCGAGCTGCTCACCCTCCTGAGCCCCAGACTGGAAACCAAACAGCGCGTGGAGGGACTCCGGGTGGTACGAGCGGCACTGGGGTACGGACAAGAACATGCCGTACTGTACGGCGAAGCGTAAGTTGTACACTCGGTGGGCAAGATGGATTGGTCTGGGATGTGGTAGGGTAAGGTCCGTCGCACCATGTCACCCTCGCCGCCCCTCCTCCCCCTCTCTCTGGGGCTCCAATAGGGCCGTGCTTTTTAGGGGGTTTAAGGGGGGGTTTTAGGGGGGGTTTAAGGGGGGGGGGGAGGGTTTAAGGGTTTTCCCCTTCCACGCGCCATCCTGGTCCCCCTCGTGATTCCTCCCCTCTCCCCCCCCTCTCGCCCTACGTCCCTGCGCACGCATTGTCCACTGCTGCTCCATCCCAACGCTGCGACGCGTCTCCCAAAACCCACAAGCTTTTCCCCTCCTCCCCCCCCTCCCAATTGCCCTACCCCCCTCGCCATCCAGTCGGGACCAGTTGTGGCGAGCTCTCCGTGCCTTGTTGTCGGGATCTCCTCCTCCTGCCTCCTCCGCCGCCGCCGCCTCCAAGCGGAACCATCGGGCAGCGGCTAACCCTAGCAGCACACACACCCCTCCTCCCCCTCCCCCTCCGCCCCCACCCGCGCTTCGTATTGTTGCGGGCCCCCTAGGGGAGCTCCTCGGTCTGTATCTGGCCAAGCTGGCAGAGAAGGAAGAGGAGGGGAAGGAAGGGAACGCCGTCACAGCGGGCGTTACGGGAGCTGGGGATGGAGGGGGAGGAGGAGGAGGGCAGGAAGGAGGCGGCGGGGAGGGGGGAGATGTGTGGGAGGTTGGGGAGTTGGCGGGTTCGGGGGGTCTTGCTCTTGGCCGGCAGCGACGAACCAGCTTTGGTGAGTGTGACGAGAGCTTGTAAGAAGAGGGTTGGGACGGGTCGGGGGTTTTGTTGGTAGGGAGGTGTGGAGGGGTATTATGGATGTATAAGTCGTGTGTGCAGTATGTTTGTTTGTATGCTTGTGTGTATGTTTGTGGTGTTTATATCGTACCTGTCGTATTTGTGCATGTTCTTGGCGGGTTCCCCGCCCGGGGCCCTCGTCACCCGCTCCAACCACACCAATTCTCGAGACCCCAAACCTCCGCGGCAAAACCCTAAAACCCTAAAACCCAAAGACCGAAACCGCCCCGGTTCCAAACAATGGCAGGCTCGCTTTTGGAACAGAGACAGTACGACATCCAGGTACGCCGGTATGCCGGTAATACTTGAAAAGGAAAAACGGCCGGGAAGCGCTTCAAAGGGTTTTTCCTTAGGGTTTTAGGGTTTTAGGGTTTTTATGTGCACATGCTTAAAATCCGTGTTTTTCCTCTTACAACCTGCTGCTGATGATGGAGGCCCAAGTCAGTTCATCCTACAAGCATGAAGAGCATCTATTTGAGGTTAGCTATTCATGATTTAAAATACCCGTTATGACCGTGCCTCGAAAAGAGAGAGCTGCTGTGTAATACACACTGGAAATCTGCCACCCTCCAGGATGGCCTTCGCCGTCGTGTTGGAGGTGGTGGCGGTGGCGGCGGCAGCACTCGGCACTGGGACGCCCTGGTGGTGGTGCTCCGTGGCATGACCGCTCCGTCCCCTCTGGGTTACCCCCCCTCTGTACGGCACCTCGTGGGGGAGGTGGTGCGGGGGCTGGGGCTGGGGTTGGTGGGTACGGCAAGGGAGGTGGCGTGCGAGGCGGCGTTTGAGGTGCTCGGGTAAGGGGGGGGGGGTTAGGGCGGGGTAAGGGGTGTGGTGTGGTGTGTAGCCAGGTAAGAAGGGGAAGTAGGGGGCCAGGGGGCTGGAGGGGAGCCTGGAATGGCCCGGAGCAAGGTCAGGAAAGGAAAGGAGGGGTGAGGCAGTAGGAGGGTTATCGTGTACTACCCCGTCTGTTACTCGCCGGATGTGGGCAGGTGTCTTTTTTTCGTTGACTTTTGAACCACCGTACAATATAACCTCTCCCTCTTTCCTCACAGCCTCTCCCCTCCCCGATTTTCCCAGGCGTTATGTTCCCCTGGCTAACCCCACCCAGCGCCAGGAGCTGTTCATTGAGCTGGTTACGGCACTGGACAGGTAGGGGTGTGTGTGTATGGGGGGGGGGCTAAACTGGGGTTTCGGAGCCCATCCGGCCCTCCGTCCGCTTGCATGTATTGTTCTAGACAAACGTTTAGCGGTAGTGGTTAGCTCATACACGAGCAATGCCGACTGATGAACTTAAAAACATACTATCGGGAGTTGTTGTGTTGTACGGCTACCTATTGTACGGCCATCCACCGGAGCTGATGTACGTTTCAGTCCCTTTCCTAACGAAAACGGAACAACTTCCGGCTGCTGACCTCAGGCTGCCGCTTCGGACGATGCGACCGGAGACGCAGCGAGGGGCGTTGAAGCTGATGCAGGTGGTTGGGATGGACGGTTGGAGGTTGGTCGTTGGGATTGGAAATCGGGTCATATGTGAGGATTAAGGAAGGGAGGGGAAGAGGGGAGGGGAAGATGTTTGCGTGTGTTTGCGTATTGCATGCATTACCTGTGTATATCTGCGTGTGTGTATCTGCGTGTATGTGTGTGTATGTGTGTTTCGCTGTATGGATATTGCTGCCAGTGCAACTTCCCCCGCCGCCGCCTCCCTCCCCTTTGTCGACATGCGTATGCAGGCCCTGGCTGAATCCGCCAGGCTAGACGACCTTAACTGCTTGCTCCGAAACCTAACCTCATCGCGGGGTCTGGCCTCCGGTCCCTCGCCCACCCGCCTAGCCATGTTGCAGCTGTGCGCCGCAATTTGGCGACGGAGGGGGCTGACACTGACATTGGTACTGCATTCAGGAGGGTCGCAGCAGCAGCAGCAGCAGCAGCAGCAGGCACAGGGACAGGGAAATGAGGGGGGGAATGAGGCACGGGTTTTGTTACCCCTGGTTTTGCCGGTGGTGGCGGGTTCGTTAGGAGATGATGATCCGAGGGTCAGGGGGGCGGCCAGGACGTTCTGGCACGAGCTGCTGCCCGCTGCACCGGCGATGCGACTGGCGGTACGTGTCACGCGTATGTATGTCTGTATATCTGTATGTGTGTATGTATGTGTATGGCTTGGGTGCTGGGAGGTCCTGAAAGGGAAGGGGAAAAAGGGATTTCAGGAGTTGTGTCAACCGAATCAAACCGAAGGGAGGGGATAATGAGGGGGGAATCGTACGGTGTGTATGACACGGGGTGGGGTGAGGGGGATGAGGGACCGGGGCCCCTCCCAGCTACCTACCTCTCCATGGTGGTGGATGTTCTGTTTTTTCCCTCGGTGCCCCCATCAGTAAATGTACGGGGGGTTCCAATACGACATTTTCCGTAGGTGTACTGCCGCCGTACATCCCAGGTCTCTCTACGATGAGGGAAACAAGAGCCCGCGCTCACTGCCCGCGCCCCGGACCGGCCTGTGTCAAATGTACGGATCGTGCCTGTGGCCGATAACCGTTTTTTTGGACTTTTGTTTTTTTCCCCCACCCTACCCCACCCCAACGTAAAAGGCACTCCTGCGCCTCGCCAGCAGCCCCGCTCTGTCCGCCGCTGCCGCCGCCGCCGCGCGCAACCCCGCCGCTCCCGCCGCAATCGCCACCAGCCCCTCCTCGCTGGTTTCGGAGGCCGCGTCGCGACTTCTGATCCGCTGGCCCAATGTGGCGTGCGCCCTGCTGCTGGAACCGTCCCTGGCGCTAACCGACAACGACCAACCGCTGTACACTTCCCAACCGTACGAATGCACCTTCCGGGACTACACGCCGAGCCTGGGGTTACTGTACGGCGGAGGCGTGGGCGGTACGACAGCTCTGGGAATGTACGGCGGTGGTACGGCAGCGGCGGCGGCACTGCGCACACCTGCATTTTTGCTGACGCAGGTGAAGAAAAGGCGGCAAGGGGGTTGAGGGGGTTGGGGGAGGAAAGTAAACTCTTTTAAGTTTTTCTGCTTGTAATATTAACTCCCTTTTAATTTTGTTAACGGGAAGCTCGGGACGCTTCAGATCTTGAAGACGGCCCTGAGCGTGTGAGAATTTACGATCTGTTTGGGAGGACGAGCACACGGTGGGTCCCTCGCCGGGTAGGTCGCTCCGAAACCTGCCGTACGGCGAAGTACGTACGCGATCTCTCCATCGCGATGTTGCCCTTCCCTCTCCCCTAATGCCCTCCGTCGCCACTTCCTCTGTACGGCGGTTCCAACCACCATGAAAGGGATGGACTGTCACGCACATGAGCACCGGGTGTTCCTTGCAGGACATGTACGGCAGCTACACCGGCGCCGCCGCCGCCGCTGCCGCTCGCCGGCGGCCGCTAGGCCTCCTCCGCGCCACAGCCACAGCCCATTTCGTTCCCACCGTAACGCTATCCGTCACCGGTGACGTCTTCGCCGCCAGCGGCGGCGTAGCGCTGGACAGCACGTACGGCACCGGCACCGCATCGCAGTCGACGGCGGTGGCGGCAGGGGCGCCAACACAGTCGGTGGCGGCGGCGCTTCCACCGTCGTACGGCGGCAACCGTACGGTGCGCCTGGCGGCGCGCCGCCAGCAGAGCGGCTCTCGCTACGCTCGCACAGCTGCAATCCGTGGGCTACAGCAACGGGAGCTGTCGCTGCGGGCGGCGCGCCACGAAGGACGAGCATCACGTGTACGGCTGTTTCGGAGCTACCGTACAGGAGAGTTGCCAGATACCTTGTCAGTGCGCGTGGCTTCGTTCCTTCGGCCGCTGGCAGGAGTGGTGGAGGTCGACGGCCCTGCCGCGACGGCCGCGCTGGCGGCAATAGTGGAGGCAGTAGCAGCCGCGGCGGCGGCGGCGGCTGCGCCGGTTGGGCCGCAGCAGCGGCGGGAGCTGCTCGATGCGCTGGCAGTAGCATTCGCAGCACGGCCGGCCGCGCCGTCGTACGTCACAGCACTACAGGCGATGGCGGCGCGATTGATTGATGCTGGCGGCGCGGCTGTGGCGGCGCCGCTGCTGCTACTGCCGGCGGATCTGACGGCTGCGGCGGCCGCCAGCGGCGGCTACCAGGCGGCGGCGGTGCTATTGGAGGCGCAGCAAGCCGTACAGGAAAGGGAGCTTGATACAGCCAAAGCCGCCGCCAACGCCAGCAGCAGCGGTAGCGGCAGGTACAGTACGGCAATAGTAAAGCGAGCGTCGGCTGGGCTATCTGCGACGCTGGAGGCGGTGGCGCACGTGTACGGCGAGCTAGACGAGCAGGACATAGTACTCGGCACACGACGCCGGCTGTGTCTGTGCCCAGGAAGCTTTGCAATGTTGGCGGCGGAGGCGGCGGGGCGGCCGAGGCTGGCGGTACGGCGGGCAGGGCAGCTGACGGCAGCGCTGGATCTGCTCACGGTAAGCGCGTATGGATATGACATGCTGGCCCCGAGAACGGTAGCGGTGTAACCCAGGCGACTGTCACGGAGGCGGCGGCGGCGGAAACGGCGGAAACGGTGAGAGCGGCGGCGGCGGCAGCGGCGGAAACGCTGGGATTGGGGCTTAAGGCATGCGGAAAGTGCGCACATTCGTGGCATATGGCATATGGCATATGCACAAGCACAAACTCGCCTGTCCTTTCGCCCATCCACACCTCACCCCGCGGCCACAGAAGCAAGGGCCGGGCGTGGCGTCAAAGCTGGTTCCGGAGCGCCCTCAGGACAGGGGCGTCGCGCTCGGGAGCAGCGCCGTCGAACCGCTACTGCCGCCGCCGCAAGAAGGCGCCGATGGAGCTGGCGGCAGTAGCGGCGGTGGTTGCGGCGGCGGTGGCGACGGCGCGGCGGCCACGTCCACGGTGGCCGCTTTGCTGGGTGAGGCAGTTATGGCACGTGCTGGCGGCGGCGAGGCCGGGGGCGGCGGCGACGGCGGTGGCACAGCAGCAGCGGCGGCGGTGTGTTCGCGGCTTGTGGCCCCTGCCGAGGCGGCGTTGTGGCGGGAGACTGTGGCGGTGTGTGCGGACGCCCTCGGAGACTGGTCCTTGTTGGAGGTGAGGGGGTTGCGAGGTAGGGGGATTTAGGTAGGGGGTGGCGAGGCAGGGGGTGTGAGGTGGGGTGTGTGTGAGGTATCACCACCGGGCGCTACCGCTTCACGTCAATACCGTCGATCCAACTTCTCTTGCAGGGCGAGCTTCAGCGTTCGCTGGTGAAGCTCGGAGTAACGCTGCCTGGCGGCGGCGAAGGCGGCGGAGGCGGAGGCGGTTCTTCAGGTGGGCTGTACTCGTCATCGTCCGCCGTTACGGCTGTAGCGGAGGCCCTGCCGCGCTCGCTACTGCTCTCCGGCGCCGGCCCTAGCGGCGGCAGTAGCGGCGGCGGCGGTGCGGGTTTGGTACTGCGGCGGGTGCTGCGCTCCGCCTTGTTCCAGCTGTCTGAGGATGACTTTCAGCTGGCGGCGGCGGCGGCGGCAGCGGCGGAAGGGCGCGGTGATGGCGCCGCCGGCGCCGGGACTGCTGGCGTGGCAGCGACGGCGGGATCCGCGCCATCAACGGACGGCCCGGCGCTGCTGGTGTTGCGACTGCTGGAGCAGCTGGACCACGGCGGCAGCGGCGGCGGCGGCGGCGGCGGCCGAGAGGCTGCGTCTTGCGCTGCCGCCGCGGTCCCGCTGGAGCTGGTGGCGGCGGAGGTCTTCCGGGCCTGTCGGCGGGGCAGCTGGGAGCGGTGCCTCACTGTACTGCAGGTGGGCGCGGCGGCAGCGACGGCGACGTCGGCGGTGGCGTGTGGCATTGTTTTATTTCACGTGTGTTTGTTTGTATGTATATATGTCTTTGACATGTGTGTCTGGGTGGATCGGTTGGATCGGTTGGATCCGTTAAAAAAGGTGCTCTCCCCCCGCGGAAATGATACCTTGGTTACGCGCATTCACCACCCTGGGTAAAGGGTTTCCAGAAGGGCAGCCTTGCAGGTATGTGAGAGCCCTTCGTCCTAAGGCCTAAGGCCTAAACTTAAACTCCCAAAACAACACCTCCTTCCACCTCCTATATATGATTCGCAACTACCATCCGGACACAAGGCATTTCTACGCCATCCTATTTGACTAACCTAACAACTAACCTACAACTAACCTAACGACTAACTTAACACGGCACTGCTGCACCGCAACAGGCCTCCTTGGCAGGGCTCCGTTGTAGATGGACTGGACTACATCCGCTGTCTACTGCAGCACGTACGGCAACGCTGACAGTGCTACAGCCCCTGGCCGAAATCCACGAAATGATCCGGCAGCTAGTGCACGCCGGCGGCGGCGGCGTCAGCGGCGGCGTAGGCAGAGGTCGGGACGGCGTTGTTGTGACGCCGGCGTCGTCTGCTGTACGGCACCTAGAGACGCTGGTGGAGGTTTGGCGACGGCGCGGCTTGGGTGGCGCGACGGTTGGAGTGGCGAGGGTGGCGACGGCGACGGCGACGGGTACGCGGCCTGGCGGCGGCGGCAACGGCGGCCCGAGTGGTACGGGGAGTGCACTTGGTACCTTGCTGCAGGTCCGGCGCCTGTCGCTAGAGGCCGCTGCCAACTGCATCCTGCCTCGTGCCGTGCTAGCTGGCGCTGCTGGCGTGGGCGGCGCCAACTCGGCGTCGTGCCGCGGCCAGCTCCAGCTTGCCGCGCGGGCCGCACAAGCATCCCTTCGTTTCGCCGCCGCTGAGGCTGCCGTACAAGCTGGTTGCGCGGATACCGCCGCGGAGGCGTTGCCGCCGCCGCTGCTGGCCCTGGCCCAGTCTCCACCGCAGCAGCCACAGCAGCCGCAGCAAGAACCACAGCAGCAGCTGCGGCTGTTTCGAGCCCACATAGACACGGCGGCGGCGCAGGCGGCGGCGGAGCCGGCGGACGCGTGCGTGTACGGCGCGGTTTCAGAGCTGCTGTCCACTATGCGGCCGTGGCATCGGGAGGCTGTTCGTACTGGGATCCTTGGAGGCCGGCTGGCGGCGGAGTCCGAGCTGGCACAGTCCCAGGCGCTGCTGGTACTGAGCGGTAGGCACCTGCCGTTCCTCGTGCTGGGGGTGGCGGTGGTGCGAGGTCTGTATGGGAATTTGTTTGGAGCTGTGGGGGTGCTGGGCGGGGTGTTGGGGGGTATTGGGGTTGGCTTTTGAAAAACCCACCGCAAGGGCTGTGTGCTGCGCGGGGCGGGGTCCAGACGACCTCCCGAGGGTTCCCCCTCCTGTCCCGTATGACCCCAATCTCAGGCGACCCGGACCCCACAGTACGGCAGCAATACCTTGCCGTACGCCTGGCCACCGCCCTCTGCCACGCCGCCACCGCAACTGCCTACCAACCGCCCAACCATAACGTCCTACAGCCCCCGAGACCGCAAATCCACGACGGTCATCACGACGGCCAGAGTGCCGTTGCAGCGGGGTTATCAGTAATGACGGAGGCGGCGGAGGAGGCCGCCGCCGCCGCCGCCGCCGTCAGCACCGCGGCGCGCGCATCGGCGCATTTCGCGTTGCTGTGCGGTCGGCTGCTACGGGCAACCCACGAGTCCGCCACCGAACGCGCGCTAGATCCCACCATGTCCTCCCTGGAGGAGCTGTACGGCACCGCCAAACGCAAACAGGTTGCCGCGGCAGTGCGCACCGGCGGCGGCGACCTATCTGCATGCGTCGTACGGCACCTGCTGCGTGCAGTGGCGCTGGCGGGTTCCGGAACCGCGGGGTGCTACGGTGGTGGTGAAGATAACGGCGTCGGAGGCAAGGGATCGGAGGAGCGCCTGCAGACGTTGGCGGCGCACCTGCGCCTCCAGGTGCCTGTCGTACTTTCCGTACTGCGTGACAGCGCCGCCGCCGCGGAGGCCTTTCGCCAGGGCTGGACCGCCGTGCCTCTGGGGGTCTTCCTTCCTTGGGTCAGCCAGATGACGTCCATGGTCTGCGGGGCTGGTGGCAGCGGCGGCGGCAGCGGCGGCGGCAGCGGTGGCGGCTGTGGCTTCGACGTGGACAGCACTAACGACCCGCTGTTCGGTCCTCTGACCGCACTTGCTTTCACATATCCTCAACGTCTGTACGCACCGCTGCGAATGACGGGTGGTGGCGGCGGCGGCGGCGGCAGCGGCATGAGAAGCACAGGTCGTAGGGCAGCGGCGATGGCTCCGTTACTGGCGGCTACTGAAAGCCCCGTGGTTTCGGAGTTCGTGGATGCGTTAGAACAGATGACATACCCTGCTCAGAGGTAGGGCGGTGTGAATGCGAGCCGGGGAGAGGGGCCGGGGGCGGGGAGCTATGTGTGCACCACACAGACAGCTAATCGTGCCATGTCAAGTAAGGGCCACGCAAGACCCCTCCCCCCCCTCCTCGTCGTGCCCTCCCTCTCCCCTCCCCCTCCCCTTTCCCGTTCTCCCGCCCGCTTGGTCGTCAGTCAGTTGACAGTTGGTGCTATATTGCTTTTACAACTCTCAGGGAATCTCCCCCGTCAGTTCTTAGATAGATACACACACGATATAAGTGCCCGGTCAGAAACCCCCCGCCGTTCCCACACGCCCAACCCCCCTCCCACACACACGCACACACGCCGACACATATACATGCACACATACATCCACAAACCCGCACACTCGCACACCTCACCTGTGCACAGATGGCAGGTGTTCTCAGGTCGCATCACCCAGGCTCTGGCGCGGGGTGACGTGGATGCCGCGGTGGAGGTCTGGAGCAGTGTACGTTGGAGCAGGGGGGAAGGGGGGGAGGGGGGCGGAAGGGGATTGGCGTTGCGAGTGTCCGTTACGAAGGGGGGGAATTTTGCAGGTCCAATTTTGCAACTGTCGAAGCATTGGCGAGGGCACAGTTCTCCCTCTCTCCTTTTCTCTCTCCCGCTCACTCACTCACTCACTCTCTCTCTCTCTCTCTCTCTCTCGATCAATCAATGAAATGAGTGTGTGGTGTGCTTTGTTCATTGTTTTTGGCTCATTGCACAGCTCCGTTGCGTTTCCGGAAAGGAACCTTTCCTTCTTCTTCTCCGTCTCCTCTTGTCGTTGCTGTTGTTGGCATTACGATGGAACCTACCGGAACACCCTTTTCCCCACCGCCTCCGCCACCGCCATCACCGCCGGCCCTTATCAACAGGAGGCCTGGCCCAACCTTTTCAGCCGCTACCACCGACCACACCACCAGCACCAGCACTACCAGACAGGCCTGCCCGCCGCCGCCGCCGCCACGCCGCGGCCACCGGTATCGCGCCGTCAGGTCGCCGGCGCCGCGCCGCCGGCGGAGCCGTACAACGTCGCTTTTGCGCGCCGCTACCGCGCCGCCTTCGAAGAAGCGTTTGGCGGTGCCGATGGTTCAGGACTTCGACAGCTTGCGGAGCGAGCTCGGGAGGCATTCCTCCTCCAACAACAGCAACAGCAACAGCAACAGCAACAGCAACAGCAACAGCAACAGCAACAGCAACAGCAACAGCAACAGCAACAGCAACAGCAACAGCAACAGCAACAGCAACAGCAACAGCAACAGCAACAGCAACAGCAACAGCAACAGCAACAGCAACAGCAACAGCAACAGCAACAGCAACAGCAACAGCAACAGCAACAGCAACAGCAACAGCAACAGCAACAGCAACAGCAACAGCAACAACAGCAGGAGCAGCAACATGGAAAGGCCTTAGGTCGGGCACTCGTGCGGGCCTTCCTATCCGCGGCGGCGGCAGCAGGCTCCGGCAATGCACGGGCCGGCGGTCTGGGGCAGTGGGAGGGGCTGCAGGCTGCTGGGCTCCGAAGCCTGGACCTGCTGAGCCCGTGGTTCCGGAGCTACGAGCAGGTTGCGGCGGACGCAAATGCCTCTATGTTGTCCTCATCTCATCCTTTTTCGTCTTCTACTGGACTTGCTAGGTGCGAACTTCTCCCCTGCGTTTGGCAATAGGAGCTCGTTAGCGCGTTTGCGCATTAGCGGATTAGCGCATGCGCGCCTGTGTGTGCGTGTGCTTTTTTTGGGGGGGTGTATGCTTGTTGTGCTGTGTGTGTCCTGCATCCCTCCCCTCTTTTCTGTCATCCCCGCAATGTCCGTACGGACACACGCATCGTACGGCACAACCTGGCTTCCCGCCTCCATTGCCAAACCCCCCACTCCCACACCTACTATCGACACCTTTACGTTCCCTTTACGTTCGCCTTTCACTTCCCAAGGCAAGGGCGACGGAAACAGCAGATGCTGCTGCTACTGCCATCCATGGCGTTTGCTACAGCCACGTCGCCGCCGCCAGCGGAGCCAGGAGCGTACGGCAGCCGCTGCAGCGGCGGCGGTCTGCCCCCTCTTGGCCTCCAGGACGACGCTGGTGCCGTCGCGGTGGTTGGGTTCAAGCGGGTGGTTACGGTGTTCAGCAGCAAGCAGAGGCCCAAGCTGTTAACTTTGTACTGCAGGTACGACAGTGTGCTGTTCCTTTATTTTGTCCAATTGTCCGCATGCGATGACAAAGCACATTCTGAATAAGCTGCATGAAAAGGCGTTTATGGATAGATTACAGATATTGAAAGGTGCGGACTTGTTTGACGTTGAGATTTGTATTGGTTTCGTTATTTTGTGTGTGAGTGTGAGTGTGAGTGTGAGTGTGAGTGTGAGTGTGAGTGTGAGTGTGAGTGTGAGTGTGAGTGTGAGTGTGAGTGTGAGTGTGAGTGTGAGTGTGAGTGTGAGTGTGAGTGTGAGTGTGAGTGTGAGTGTGAGTGTGAGTGTGAGTGTGAGAGAGGGTCACACTGCTTTCCTGACATTTTTCTGAGGGATTAATATTTCTGGGGAACCCAAACCGGCGGCTTTTTACTTTGTCGTACTGTCGTACACTGCTGCTGCCCGCACAGTGACCTCAGTACCCGGGAGTTCGTGGTCAAGGGTGGCGAGGATGTACGACTGGACGAGCGGATCCAGCAGCTGTACGACGCGATGAATGGAGTTACAGCTCACGACGCAGGTGCGGTTCCTGCGGCTTTTGTGCATGCGTGTATGTGTGTATGTGTGTATGTGTGCATGTGTGTGTATGTGTGTGTACGTGTGTGTATGTGTGTAAATGTGTGTGTGTGTGTTTTCTTAATTAGTTTTTCGGAAGGGGAGGCCCCCCGTCAAGTGTTCCAGTCTTTTGTGTGTGCGCGGTGGCGGCGGCACTGCCACGACTGGCGGGTAAGAGTACGGCGGTTTCGCTGGCTTGCTCCAGTTTTCTCCGCTGGAGTTGGTGCCAGTGAAAAATCGAAACAATAACACAGAAACCCGAAATAACAAGAAACAGCAAACTAACAGGCAACTAACAAACTACAAAACACCCTGGACCTTGCAGCCTGTGCTCGACGCTCCCTAAGGGTACCCGTGTACGACGTCATTCCTCTAAGTCCTACCGTCGGCCTACTGCAATTCGTACCGGGGACGCGGCCCCTTCAGGTGGGTGGCCCCTTATGTGGTCCCTGCTGGTGTGGGTGTGGGTCGCTGGCTGGCTGGCCGGGCGGTTGGGGTTCGCGCGCGCGGTCCCCGGGTTGTGTGAGCTACGCAACCGGTGGTGCTGAAGTAAAAAGTAAAGTAAATCTTCATGCAGTTCTAACCGTTTTTGGTGCAGTTTCCACCGCGATGCGTGTTGGAGAAGTTACGCGTCCAAGAAACTCCTCTGCTCAAGTTGTCCCGTTTTTTTCGTTTAACGTTATGAAACTGGCACTAGACCATGATTTATGCAAATGGCATCTAAAACATATCCCTTGAGCATCTGATGTTGAACCTTTGCTGAAAAATCATGATCCAAAGTGTTTATCTGGACAGCTTCTTGGTATAAAGTCCAGTCCCACCTATTCTCCTATTGGCGTGACATCACTCCGCTCCTGTTAAAAAGTTCAAATATCTAGCAGTGACGCCAAAAAAACTGCGAATCTCACCACTTCACCACACCACAACATCGTCTTTGCAAAGTCGCTCGGCGTGCAGTTTACTCTCAATATTCTACCAGAAGCCCAGAGTAGAGCTCTAGTAGAGCTCTGCATGGATTATTTTGTGTTGATCGACCGCAATCCCACTGTCGTACCATATGCGTAAAGGCTTTGTGCAGAATACCGAGTAAGAAATGCACCTCGGCACAAAGTCACCGCAGGGCTCTGCCCCTCCTTTCCATCCCTTACTTGGGTAACAGCTAACACGGCCTCTCGCAGCTCCTACAGCAGTCCCCAATTCAACACCACTGGCCCCATCTTCACCCCATCTTCCTTCTTCCAGAGCTGTCTGGTTGATAATCCGGAGCGCGCGGAACAAGAGGCGCAGGTGAGGCAGTCTGGGGAAGCCTAACGGTTAAGGGAGTTTTGAGGGGAGCGGGGAGCGAAAGGGAAAAGGCTTTGAGGAAAGGGTTGTTTCGGGGTGTTGAGGAGTTTTGATTTTTATATTGTAACAAATCACTAACTAATACCATATTAGCGATGATAGGATAGGGAGTTGGTTCAGCTGCGACCCTGCTGGGGGTCATAGGCTGTGCAATGTGCTGGTCATGGTACTGGTAATGGTCATGGTAACGGTAGGGGTGTGGAAAGGATACAGGGATGCATCGGCGCAGGGATCCACCGTCCCCGCAGCCGTCAGTCGCCGCACACGCTGGTTGCTCCCACTCCCCCCCTCCTCCCCATCGCCCTCGTTCTCCTCTCGCCCGCCCTTTAGCGCTTTTTCCTCCGTGTCGGTTTTAGAGTTTTCCCCTTCTGTTTCTCCAAAGGGCGCACCTGCACGTCCTAGCGCATGTCCTGTTCCAACCGCTATAAGATACTAGACAAGCTTATTAGAGGTAATACTAATCCAGAAGAAGCCGGACAACACACGCTCACCGCAAAACCCTGCTTGGAAACCTGCAACCCAACCCAACCCAACACAACAGGCCATCGAGCTTTACGCCAACTACATTCGCTCAGCCGCCGCCTCCACCGTACAGCCACGTCAGCAACATCAGGCACACGCGGCCCCCGGGTTAGCAGCCCCCGGACAACTTCCGGGTCCTAGAGACTACTGGCAGATGTACATACAGGCTGACTCGGCCAGCACTGTACGGCACTTCAAGCAGGTAATCATCCCACCCCGGGTACCACCACGGCACCCGGGGGGTGCCACCGCCGTTCGCGTGAATGGGTGGCACGAACATGAATATATATGAATACCTGTGTACAGCATGTGTAC